CAAACAAGCCCACTCAACTCGATTAACAATTCAGACGGTTCCATTGTTAGGTGAGGATTCGAGTATTTTCTGAAAGGATTCGCTCCAAAGAACTTTCCAAAAGAGTCCAATAACTTTCCAAGTAGACCTCGACAAGCTCTATGCAACCACATCATACATTTTTCTCTAGACCCCCACTCAAACAGAGGAAATCTCCAAATATCATTAAAAAAACGTGTAAAATGCAATCAATTCTCGAAAAACTTGTCGTGATTCGTCCAGAAGTGCTTTCCAACTTAATCATTGAGTTTCCAGGTAGATCTTGACGTGCTCTACCGAATGCACATCTTTGGTGCTCCATTGTATGAATTAGAAGGAAACAAAAGAAACTACTTGAATCTGGAAGCATCGGCGCCTGATTCTTGAAGCATCTTGATTAATTCTGCAAAAAGTAGCATTTTTCTTTGGGGAGGGACGGCGAGTACCCGAATCGCATGGATGAATCGTCTATTCGAAAGAGATCGCTGATGTTTCTCCGTAGGGTTTTGTCTCCCGCTTTAAGAGTGATTCTCAGCGAAGTACACCGGCTTTAATATGAAAAATTAACTAAGTAGGCGGAAATTACTGGTTCTCCGTGGCACCAAATACGGGAATCCACCGGCGGGCCGGCCTAGGATCTAAAAGTAAAATTTTGCCCACGTAATATTCGAACCCCTATAGCTGTTCAAATGTTACGTAGACACAGGGTGTGGCAATTGCCACACCTCGCTCCATGGGCCGGCCCGCCAATGCGGGAATCAGATCAGCGAAGTGTCTCTTACGTGGAGCTCGTCGAGTTTTATCAGCAGAAAATCGATTGCGCAGTTGGAACCAATGGCTGGCCAAAATGCGACAGGTTTTTTCCATGAAAAACTAAATTTGTGACTCTGAATAGGGCGTTTTGAAAAGCCAAGAGTATCGGAGGCAGGCAAAAGGTGTCTCATCGATAGAGCTGCTCACGATCTATTTGAAAACTTCTATGTGGTTGTTGGAAAGTGCTTTAGGGCGAACCCTGTCAGGCTTTACAGGAAAACCTAGGATTCCACGAGTTTTTTGCAGATTTTCTTGGCTCAGCGCCACCTGATTGTGCTTCAAAGGTATCCAATCGGTAGAGCGCGTCAGATTCCACTAGGAAAGTAATGTATTAGAGTTGCAGACTACCCCAGGGCGATTCGCTACATCTTTTATTGAAAAGTTGAACAATTGGACCCTGAATCAATCGTTTTTCTGAGAAGGAAAGCATCGAATCAAGTTCTAAGGGTGTCCATTCGATAGATCTCGTTGAGATGTACTTGGAAAGTGCGTCTGAACCAATCGCGACAAGTATTGTTTGAAAGACGGATTTCTGCTGCTGATTGAAGGTTTTGAGGGTGAGAGGAGTATGGAATGGCACACCAAAGATGTGCATTCGATAGAGCACGTCAAGATCTACCTGGAAACTCAATGATTAAGTTGGAAAGCACTCATAGACGAATCGCGACAAGTTTTTCGAGAATTGATTGCATTTTATACGTTTTTTTAATGATCTTTGAGGATTTTCTTGGTTTGAGAGGATTCTAGAGAAAAATGAATGACGTGGTTGGATGGAGCTTGTCGAGTTCTACTTGGAAAGTTTTTTGGAGCGAATCCTGACCTAAGATATCCTACGTTAGTGCCATTTGATAAGATGAGTCTTTCTCAGTAATATCGAAATACCAGGTATTGTGGTAGTTTGACACACCTATATTTACACCTAAATCTTCATATTTATTTACAATTAGTTGCTTGTATAAATATAAAATAATAATATAGAAATAAATATACAAAAACGATTGCACAATTATCAGATGAGATACTCATATAATTTAAAACAATTTCATTCTAGTTCATATATTAGATATGAGAAATGGTATAATCATTTATACATAGTAATTTGGCGATATTAATACATCATCAAAGATTACAAGTTGGTCGTCCGTAAATTTTTCTCGATGTTGATGCCATGAATCATGATGAGTACGACGAAATTCTGATAAAGCTTTTTTAACTGATTTCTAATTTTAAAAAAAAACATAAACACAATCAGCATCTTCAAATAACTAACTAACTTGAATAAGATCTGGATCATGTAAATGTTCACATAGAAGCATTAATGCAGCTGGTATATAATTTGAGATATCGTATGGACTTGAAAGAACAATTGCACAAAGACCAAGAACACCTAAGAATATAAATTCAATAATTAATTTCAAATCAACAATATAAACTAACCTCCATGTCGTTTAATAATTTTTTCGGTTATTATAATTTTTTTCCCATCTTTTTTAATAAAATATTTTATTTTACTCATTTGACTGAAATATTCCTAGAAACAAAATGATTCAAGAAGAATGGTTTTTTCTTTTGTAAATCGAATCGTAAATATTTACAAAATCTTCTTCATTAACTTGAATATATCCACATTGATAAAATCCTGATAATGTAATGGATGCAACAGAACGAACTTCAAATTGTTCATCAAATAAACATTTAAAAACAAGTTCACGTAATTGTTTTTTATATAATCGAGCATTGAATAGATTACAAAAAACCATATATTGTATAAATTCCATAGCTACTTGACGTGTATGCCATTTTGAACTTGTACAAACCTTTAGTGATTTTTTTCCGAACAAAAAATAAAATAAATTTTTTCTTTCTTTTATTTGAATATGTATTTACGTATTCTAATTGTTCAATCAATGATTCAAGAATTGGTGTATGTAAATAAGTCATAGCGACATGCATTCGACTGATGGTTAAATTTTCACTTGGAACAATACTTTCTAATTCGCA